TGGAGGGAAATCTGGCCAGACAAAGGAATAAGTGAGTGATAATTTTTGCTTTCTGCAATCCTGCACGATATTTATGGTGCATAAAAATCTGTGATTTATAGACTAAAAACATTACCCAGAATAAAAGTGAGCTTCATCTATTGGAAAGATATGGTTTCTTGATAGGCAAAAAGATGGTGAGAATCATATCCAGGTTACTTACTTTGGAGTTTGGATAATGACTTTGGAGAACCTGAAAAGAAAGTTCTAGACTGAGCCATTGATACTGACTCAGAATGGAGTTTCAGAAGAGATCAAAGATGAAGAGTGAGCAGAAGCTGCAGGCAAGGAAACAAGACACTGGTGTGTGTGTGCATGTGTGCGTGCGTGCGTGCGTGCGTGCGTGCGTGTGTGTGTGTGTGTGTGTGTGTGTGTGTGTGTGTGTGTGTGTGTGTGTGTGTCTGTGTCTGTGTACAGCCAGGGCTGTCCCCTGTTCTCTCTCACTATGCCCACAATGGGAGCTGGGAGGAAGGGCTGGTTCCCATCCCAGCTGGAAGCTAGGAGGTGAGAGGTGAATGACTGGTAGCTTTGTGAAGTTCATCTTAGACCTACAGCTTGGGAATGGACTTGGTTTTCCTGTGGATCCTGGGGCCTGTGAAGAAAGACGAGGAAGTCTGTGGAAAGACATGAGGGGAGAGGCAGAGGTAAGGTAGACAAGAGAGAGCCCCTGCAGACAGACGGGAGGAAGAATGAATGACAGGGGGCTTAGGAGAGCTTGCTCGTACAGAAGATCTAGAACTTCATTTGTTTTGTTGCAGTTGTCTGTGCATATCTAGTCAAGTAGCTTTGCACCCTAGACTGGCTGGCGTAGGGAGGTAGGCATGCCTGTTACGTCCTTTTAAAGACAGGGCTTGGAAGGAAGTGCAGGATAAGAGCAAAGCCATGAGGTCAAGACCTATCGGAGCGGAGCACGTGGAGGAGGGCCCCTAGCTTCCTGCAACCCGAGTCCATCAGGCAGACTTGCAAGAGTGCCCCGCCAGATAACCCTTCTGTGTTCAAGGTTATTGCTGCTTCCCCGTGTGACGGACACATAGGACAGAGGCATAGACACCATTCTTACCTCCCTTGGAGAGAGGTGCGGAAGCTCCTGTTGGTCTGGGAGCCTGTGCACGGGTCAGGAGGGGGCTGGGGGAAAAGGGAAGGTGGCTCTTGTTCCTGAACGGCTCTTGCTATTTCAGACCTCCTGAAAGTCTGTTGCTCGTGGCTCTCCGCTCTGATGGGAGTGACAAGACTTCTCACAGCGCTCTCTTTACTTAACCCCTTTTGCTGGGCCATCTGTTCACTACTCTGATGTATGCTTCTCCTCCGAGGAGCCATCAAATTATTCAGGCTCCTTCCCTGGCGCAGACACTGCTCTCCTCCCAGCTGCCCCAACCCCACACAACCAAAGCCAAACCACTTGCCCACATCCCGAGTGACATGGATACTTGTGGGGGGAGGAGGTCCGTGGGCGAGCAGATCATGGTTGAGCACAAAACACTGGAGGTTCAGCTTGGTGCTCATCCTCACTATGGATTCCAGCTGATGCTTCAACTCCAACGCCTCCCCTGAGACTGGCTTTCAAAAATACCCTCTTCTGGGGAGCCATGGTGCTCCCTGTTCCTGAGACAACCACTTGCTACCTCATAACACACCCTGGACCTTCTGGAGCCTGGAGTGGGGCGTGGCGGTACAGAAAACTTTCCCCTCATATGATTTCAAGTTCTCATAAATTCTAAAGCTTCCTAAAGTTTTAACTTTGCCCCCTCCCTGTGCCCCCCTTTTCCCCAGCCTTGTCTCTCTTGATATGGCTAGCATGCTGGGCAAGCCTAGAGCCGTGTTGCTAGTGAAGAAGGCGCCTCCATCTGCATGGTCCAATGTGGTAGCCAGCAGCCACCATGCCTACTGAGTTTTCCAGACCTGGTTTGTGTGCTATAGGACTTGTATTTTAAATTGAAGTTGGATTCAATTGCAGTAGACTTAAACTTAGCCTCCAAGTAGCAGCAGCAGCCGCTGAGACACCTGGGAACAAGCTAGAAGAATAAGGCCTGAGGATCCACACCAGAGTAAGTGCTTGGGTTGCTCAGAGGCAGAATGATGGCTGAGGAGTAAAGATCCCAGGTCAGGTCTTGGGAATGCCCCTGTCCCTCTTTAGCTACCTGGTCATCTCTATCGCCTGGACTTAATGAGAACCAGAGTTCTTCATGGCCCAGCCTTCCCTTCCTTCAGGTCTGTGCCTGTACTTGCATCTCAGGCAGGGAACCTGCTTGGTGCTTGACTGGAACTTCTCAATCCCCACCCCCCAGTGCAGGCATCAGGCTGTGGGAAGTTTTGAATAATGAATGCAGCCAAAGAGGGGTGCTGGCTTTTTCCATTCACTCGCTGAGCGCCTTCACCAGTGGGTGAGGCACACAGTCATCACCCACTCCAAGAGCAATCTTCCCTGGGTGAGAACAGGTCCCCTACCCCCGCCTTTCTTCCCTCGCCTACAGGAGGCTGACAACTGGCTGGGGAGGCTGCAGAGCCATGCCTTGGAATTCCAAGCAAGGAGCCACAGTGACAGCGGCTAAGGTCTTTCTTTTCTTGCTTCCTAGCCAATAGTTACTGAACTCATCTTCCAGGTGCTGTGCTAAGGGGGATATGTGCTTCTTCTCCGTTGATCCTAGCAGGTGATAGCAGCCCTGGGTTTTAGAGGAGAAGCTCAAAGCTCAGAAAAACTAAGTGACTTGTTCCAAGCCAGCAGCCGATCTGTTTGATCTCAAAGCCTGAACTTTTCCCAGAAGCACCGTCCTCTCTCCTCAGTTAGCAGGAGGGATGGATGCCTTTGGGATGCTTTTGGAGGAAGTAAAGAAGTGTGGACCAGCAGGGCTGTCAGCTTCTGCTAGTGCCCAGGAAACCGTCATTGAGTAGACATTTGTGAGCCAGTGACTCAAAGCTGAAAGATGCTTAATCAAAGTTTAGTCTGACATATGGAGAACTGGCAGGAGATTCATTTAATATTACCTCCTGTTGAAACCCCCACCCCCGTCCCTTCTCTCCTGGTCTCTTTTCAATCTGTCTTCATTGCCATCTTCAACTAGGAGGAGACAGAACCAAGCTCAGCACCAAGAATGGCATTTCCTGATTCCATCTGTGATGGCTGGGCAAATGCAGGCTCCCCAAGACCAGAGGAATGCCCGCCACTGCCCAGAAACACCTGGGTATGGAGTTGGGACCTGGCCTAGAATGAAGGTGGCTTCAGCCCTTCCTGGGACCTTGAATGCTTCTCTAGTAAGTCCCAGTGCCAGCCTCCAGCGTCCTCTACCTCCACTGTGACTGGTTGTGACCCTCATCCACTGGTCTGTGCTTATTGTCTGCTCCTGCACACAGGCTCTGGCTGGGATCTTACTGGTTTTGTTAGTTATGTTTTTCTTGTTGTTGTTGTTGTTGTTCCTGGAGACATTCTTGTCACTTTTGGAGTTTTCCTTCTGTCTTTAGGTGGACAAATGAAAGTCCTGTAGCTGAGGAGTATGCAGCAACTGGGTCTGACCAAAGGCCCCGAGGGAGTCCTAGGGAAAAGGTGGCAACTTGGCCTCTGCTCTTCTTTTTATGGCCGGTAGGTGGTGCTAGATGCTAGCCCAGGCCCAGCTTGGGCCTTGGAGGAGCTAACTGCTATTCTGGTTTACAGGAAAAGACTGCCAGACATGAAGACTGTATAGACTCAGTGGCTGATTCAGGACGCTGGAGATGTTACCAAGCCTTTCAGCCCTTAGCGGCCAGCCTCCCTTTATGAATTGGAAACCAGGTGGAGAGTGGAACAATTGGGTAATAGGCATTTGCCTCTATCCTTGCTAAAACATTAACCCTTCTAAGGAGGAATAAAGACTCCTTCCTTTGGGAGCTCAGAACAAGCTTTACTTCAACCCAATTGGGCGTTTAGGATGGATAGAAATACAAACAGACAAGTGTTTCTGGGGCCACCCTTAACATTGTGAGTGGGCTCTTATAGGTCATTCTATAGTCTGCTTCCAAATCCTGCATGCCTACTGAAGGTCTGGCACATGGCGTGTGCTTACAAAATGAATGAATGACGGAGTGAATGAGTCTGTGGGTGGATGAATTCAGATTTTCCTCCTGGATTTACCCTCTGGATATTTAGGAATGCAACCAGTCCCTCAGCCTTGGGATTTAGGAGTGGCCTAACGGAAACGATGGGCCTTGGAGGCCACATGGAGCTGTAGACTTGACCTCCACACATATATGTCAAAGGTGCTTCTTTCCCTTCCCTTCCTGAACATCTACTGAATGCCTACCAATGTACTCCATATATCTTTCTAAGCCCCCAAATCTCCTGTCTACAAACGTGCCTTCTCAGGCTACAAAAAAGAGGCGTGGTGTCCGGCTGTGGAGCTCTGGGATGTTGGCTTAGCTCCGCAGGCATGCAGAGCTTGGGAAAAATGGGTGGACTTGTGGGCTTTGCCAGTGAGAAAATGGAAAGACATCCCTGTGTGGCAGGTCCTGGGCTGGTGGGTGTCAGTGCACGTAGCCAGGGTGGACAGAAGGGGGTATTATCTAGGCAGGCCCATGAATAAGTGTTAAAATGGCTTTGCTGGCATTTTTCTTAGGCCAAGACGCAAACTCTGCCGAGTGCATAGTTTTGCTGAGGGCTTGAAGGAGGCCAGGCGAGCAGAACTGTGGCTGGCCAAAGTGGGGAAGGGTAATCTGTGTGATCCTTAAACACTGGAGTCCAACAGAGCGAAGAGACCAACGGACAAAGCCTGGTGTGGCCGGGACAAAAGCAAAGGTCTGTCAAAAAGCCAACCGTGGGAGGGTTCAGAGGTGCCTCCACCGTGAGAGCAGAGCACACCACGAGTATAAGTGAGCGACGGAGGAGCTGCTCTGGTCACCTACTCTTGGAACATTCTAGAGAGCTTCTTTGGGGTTTATTTAGTAACAGCTCATACCGAAACCCTCACCTCGTTCCTTCTCCCTGTTTATTTCAGGTCTTCCTCGATACCGCCCAGCTTCGGAGCCGTCTTTTGAATGACGCGATGTGCTGATATGAACACCGAGGAGAGCGGACAGGACCAGGAGACTCACAAGCAGCTCGCAGGAGAAGCCACCGAAGAGACCAAGAGCATTATCCTGGAGAAAACCAGACCTGGAGCAGCTCCACTCATGTCGCGATGAGCACTGAGCAGACGCTATGTGGTTGGAGAGGGTGAGCTCCCCAGAGATCTGTGAGCCCAGGATGCGGGGTAGGGGATGGATTTGAAGTTCCCACATTCCCTTCCCAGCCTCATGGACCAAGAGGAAGGCTCTCTTTGTCTTCTGTGTGGCAGGAGCTTCCTCGGGGCCACTTAGCTGTAAATCCAAACAGCTGTAAGGGTCAGTGGCCTTCAAGCTGGCCCCTCCCACCGGTCCTATGTCCTATGAGGTTGTACCTAAGCTCTTCTCTGAGCTCTGGCAGCTAATTAAGCTGGATTCCCTTAGGCTTCTGAATAAGAACAAGGGCCGCAGCAGAACTCCAGTGCTCTTGGCCCACAGATGGCTCCAGCTCCGTTCCCTCCTAATCCCTTCCCAGGAAGAATGCAGTCTTCCTGTGAGAGCTGGGTTGCCTTGAGCAAGTCAGACAAGCCTTCCAAGACTCAGCATAGACACCTGCAGATGGGTGATGGGTGACAGGTCCCTTTCATAGGCCTTTGGTGGAAACTGTCCTCCCCCATTGCAGTATGAGGTTCCAACAACCAGTGGGTACAGAGACTTAGCCTATCATCGGCCTGCGCAGTGAAGGTCCCTGGATGCGGTGCTTTCAATACTAAAATACAGAAAGCAATGGGCAAACCAAGACAAGTTGGTTACTTTAGCCAGGGTTCCATCTCCCTCTCCCCTTGTCTCCTGGCCAGTCTTGCAGTCAACCCCAAGCTAAAAACATCTGGAGACAGATGTTGAGGACCGATAATGCTCTGCCGATGATGCTCTGTGCCTTGTCTCAGCCCTGGGTGCAATCTTGCCCTCTGAGAGCCCAACTCTAAGTGACTCTTCTTCATCTCATTGAAGGTGAGTTTTCTCTTCCCTTTCTCCTCTGGCAAGTGTTCCTTTCCTCTGGAACTTCTTGCTTATCTTTAAGTTAACCTGGCATTTCCTGTCTGTTTGTACCACAGTGGAATCCAGAGCCCTGGACAGAAGAGGAGGAGGGGCCTGCAGTCCCTGGAAACACTCTTACTCCTGTGGTCACTAGGTACCTAGGTCGTGTTCTCTCAAATACCCTTTCCAGTAGGAGAGATGAAGTTGACATTGGGCTTGGTACATTCCCGTTGTCAGTATCAGATGACATCCCAGAGACGAGGAAACGTTCTGTCCCCCAGGCCTTCACCTGAAGACTGGTTCAAAGATCAGTCTGCATGTTTTGGAAGTTCCATCCCTGGGACCCCAAGAAAGACTTCTCTGGAAAGGAAGTGGGGGTTGGGAAGGGAAAGAATAGGAAACAGTCTTTTCTGGTTAATCTTCGGATTTTATGCAATGTCTGTGAGACAGACACACCCATGGAGCATGTGCTGGGTTCCCGGCTCTGTGGAAATGCAGCATCAAGAAAGTGACATTTCTTGACGGGTGAGAGGTAGACATATACACTACAGCCCTTGAGCCCTGGAAGGTCTGAACCATAGAGGGCAGCAGGGCCAGCCGAAGAATCCAGGATGAGGGAGTGCTTGCCAAGATGAGATAGCCTGAGCTCTTTTAGAGGTGGGCTTCTGAGAAGTGTCGGCTGTGGTGCCCAAGTGCAAAGATGTATAAGGTGAGGACAGAGGACATGAGAGGGTCTAGGTCCCGAGTGTTTTGCCTAAGGGTTAGTCCGTTGGCAGAGAAGGCTGTTGATGGGAGTAAAGCTGGATCCTGGAAAGTGCTGGCATGGGCACTGGGGCTCAGGATGGAAGTCCTGGAGGCTTTAAAGCAGGAACGAGTCAGGGGTACCAGCCACGTTCTGACGAAATGTCAGTCCCCAGGACCTCTACCTCTTGCTGTCATTTCATGTCTCCTCTTTCTCGAGGAGTTGGACTAGCCTTCTCCTGTCAGAACAGCCTTGTCCTCTCCACACGTGGAGGAGGAAGTCCTGGCTTGGCCCGAGAGAGCCTCTAGCCGTTGGCTCTCCTCCACTCCCAGGCTGGGAGCAGCTGAATCCCAGGCTAGGGCCAAGGCTGGAGTTGGCTGTTGTGTTCTCTGTTGGGGAAAGAATCCACTTCTCCATAGCCATAGAGCAGAAAGTTCAACCTGGCATCTTGGCCCCGGCCCTCCTGCTTGGTTGTGACTTTCTTCCTTCATTCTCCTCCCTGCCTGTCTCTCCTCTGTCTTCCTCCTGGGCATCAGCTATCAATGTCCTGTTTCTCATCTCTCTTTCTCTTCCTCATTCTTCCTTCTCTCTCTCTCAGTCTCTGTCTCTCTGTGTGTGCACATGCTCGTGCGTGCATGTGCAGGGATAATATGTATGTGGATTCCACAGGTCAACTTTGGATGCTGTTTCTCAGGAACCATTCTTTTTCTTTTTTTTTTTTAAAGGCAGAATTGTCCATTAGCCTGGAGCTAGGTTAGCTGCCTGGACAACCAGCCCCAGGGATCTGTCTGTCTCTGCCTTCCCATAGCTGAGATTACAAGGGTGCATCACCATGTCTAGCTTTTTTTTTTAAATGGGTTCTGGGGATCAAACTGAGGGCCCCATCTCACACGGCAAACACTTTGCCTTCTGGACCATCTCTGCATCCCTCCACCCGCCTTTTAAACCTGACAACATAGGTCCTTCTCTCCTCCCCCTGCCTCTGCCGGGTCCCACCGCTCCCAGGCCATTTTAGAGGTGGGACTTTGAGATCCGACTGACCCTTCTTACTGTGTAACCTCAAGCAAGCAGCTAAATGTCCCCAGGTATCTTGTTCTTCGTCTAGGAAAGATGGGTGACCACAGAGACCTCACTGCACGGGAGCTGGGGTCGCTTAGCACTATGCCCCATCAGCGTGTAGGACTGAGCTGTCCTTGTTCTGAGCTGTCCTTCCTTTCACCAGAGCTAGGTGCCGAGTGTTTTTTGAGAAGAGGGTCTCTGGCACTTTTGAGGAGGCCAAGAGCTTCGGCTAGGAAGTGGTGGGAAGCTTAGTGGTGCGATGCTCCTTGTGGGGCCTCCTTGGATGCCGCTGGCTTTTCATATTGCTTCTGTGTCTCCCTTCCAGAATAACAAGGGCATAAATCAGGATCTGTCAGTACTCATTTCTGTCCTCAGCTGGACAGCTGTCCTGCCCCGGCCAGGCTTCATCCCTGTCTACAGAAGACAGGGTCCATAAAAGCTGAGGGGGATGGTGAACTGGAATGATGGAAGCCACAGAGCTGCGTGAGAAAGGGCCAGCTGGTTACGCTACAGTTAAGAAAAATGCCACCCGTGTGAGAATAGACTTAAGTTACCAGGGCCCTAACCCGAGGTGGCTGGCTCAGGGTGAGGAGCCTAGCAGATGAAGGCTCAATGAAAGAAATGAGTGAATAAATGAAGAAAACTACAACTCTCTTGGTTGTTCCCAGTGACCATCTCTCCCTTGCGTGTCAAAGGCCTTCTGGTACCCTGTGCTGAGTCAGGAGACTCGGCTCATGTTGGCCTGGAACTCATATGTGGTCAAGGAGGATCTTGAGTTTGGATCCTCCAGCCTCTGTCACCCAAGTGCTGGGAGTACAGTGATGTGCCACCACACCTGATATTTATGGTGCAGGTTTGAATCTAGGGTCTCACGCATGCCAGGCAAGCACTGTACCGACTGAGTCACATTCCTACCCCCCACTCCCTGTCTGAGTTTTGCCTGGCCTTTGTAGTTGCCTGGGCTGTTACAGGTTCCCTTTTCATCCTCACTGGAACCTTCTGAGAGGAGAGATGCTGGGGCTGAAAGAATGTTCCAATCCTGCCTCAGTTCGGCCCCAGAGTCAGCTGGAGGGAGATGTCCTCAGCACGCAGTCAGCAAATTGGCCATCCTTAGGAAAGGTCAGCTGAATCAGCCCCTCCCCCAAGTCCCCTCCAGGAAATGTGCTTGCTATTTTTAGAAGCCTTTCAAGCTCCTGAGCTCAGCAGGACACACTCTGAACCCTTGCCCATTCAACCCCAGATCAGCCCAGGCCAGGCCAGGCCAGCCCCTGCCCAGTTCAGCCCTGACACACTTTCTCACCTTTCAGGCAAGTTAGCAGCTGCTAGAGAGGAGATGCTCAATCCAGAGAGGCCAGGTGGGCAAAACCTGGAGTCCTCTAGACAGAACGATATGACCTGAGAGCTACTTATCACCTGGACCTGAGAAAGCCCCGCCCACGTGTTATTCCCAGCTGTGCAGCGGATAAGTCATACCTGGAGATCCACTTAGAAGAGAAGCAGGATAAATAGAAATTCAATCAGCAGTCAAAAGTGCTGTACTCTGCTAAATTCTGGGGAAATTCTTGCAAGGCCTGGGAGAGGTTGTGGTGGAGAATTTTGTGTTCCTTGGAAAGAGACACTTAGAGAGATGATGTCATAGAAATCAGTCTCGTAATAAGGCTGCTTTTTTTTAAAGGTGGCTTTCCATTTGAGGAGGGAGGGACTGGGAGGGCTTGGGACACGACGTTCTGAAAACCCTAGCAGACTCTGCTACTCCTCTTTTTTAATAGGTGGGAGGGATACTGGTATAGAAAGAAGGGCTTTGGCTCTGGTCCTCCCTAGCTGGCCTTCAGGACATCACTTAGTCATCTTGGGTAACTGTCTACTTATAGCAGGGATGGAGAAGGAGAAGTTGGAACTAAACATACTCTGAAACTGACAATTTCCATGGAGGAATGAATCTGTGGCATTTCCCCAGACTTCTTCAAAGGTGTTAGGATCCTAAGAATGGCTTATGGCTTACAGAGGATCCTGTGTGTCCCTTATAGAGGTTTCACGACATTGCATTAGGTCAAAGCATAAACACGTATTGTATAGTGTAAGGAAACACTTTGATACATCTGAAAAAGAAAATACAAAGCTTTAAGGACGTTCCATGCCTGCTGCAGCCCCTCCCTAACCCCTATGTCCTTTTTGACCATTGGAGGCTTCTGGTTGGGAAAGTCTGAGAACCACAGGGTTTGGTTAATCTCTAAGGCCTTTGAAATGCTACTGTTGTATAATTACAAGATCTGTAATATTATCACTCCTATTTTTAAAAAAGATGTACTTATTAATTATGCATCCAGTGTTCTGCTTGCCTGTCAGAAGAGGGCGCCAGATCACATTACAGATGGTTGTGAGCCGCCAAGTGGTACTGGGAATTTAACTCAGGACCTCTGGAAGAACAAACAGCCCAAGCTCTTAACCTCTGAGCCATCTCTCCGGCACCCTATTCCTATTATTTTTGACATGTGTGTGGGCAGGCAGGGCTTGCAATAAACTGACCTCTGAGAAAGGTTTAGTACTTTCTTGGCTCTTCTTGGCCTGGGAGCTGCCAGTGCTTTGAAGTTGAAAGGAAAGTGGAGGGTGGGGATGGGGACAAGAGTAACGGGTGTCAAGGAAGTGGGGTTGGTATTTAAATGTTCTGTTCTGTAGTCCTCGGGTCAGTCAATGGGGTAAAATCAGGCCTTCTAATTCAGTCTGGTGCAGGGAAATGGATTTTCCTTGACCCCAACAGCCTTTCCTAAGCACGTCTTTTGCCCCTTGTGTTGGTTAATTTTCTTTCTGTTGTGATCAAACGATTGACAAAAGCAGCTTAGGAAGGAACTTTCTTCTGCTTTGTGGACTGAAGCGATGCTCTCCACCATGGTGGGGACACATGGCAGTGGGCATGTGAGGTGGCTGGCCATGCTGTGTCCATGGTGGAATGATGAGCATTCCGCTGACTCCCTCCTGTTTCGATTCCTATTAATTCTGGGCCCAAGCTTAGGGTGGGTCTTTCCTCCTCAGTTAAATCTCTCTAGAAGAGCTTCTAGACATGCCCAGAGGTGTGTTGTCTAGAAGATTCCAGATTCAGACAAGCTGACAATGGAGACTCTCACACCTCCAACTGTCACTGCCTTCACCCTGCAGACCTCTTGTATACCTCCCTGCCTGCCTCTTCCTCCCTAAACTGCACCTACAAACGCACACCCAGTCCCCTGTGGGTACCCCTGCCCCTGTCCACACATGTTCACCCATGCACACCTGCCCTGCCCCACACCTGCAGACGGCCCTATGGCTGGAGGCTCCCAGCACTCTCAGAACATGTCCCCATAGGCCACAGGCTGCAGTCACTCCCTCCACCCTATACACGTCTCCCTGTCACTGCCCATGGTGTCCTCCGGGCTTCAAGCGCACACTTGTTCACCTCGAGTAAGATCAAAAATAAGCTCTCTCTGGAACCTGTTCAAAGGCTAATGCGCCTCCTCTCTTCATTATTGATTTGTTTATTACAGAGGCTTGGGTAGGATATTCGATGTGGCTGCTGTGCCAGGGCCGCTTCAACAATCCAAGCTTGCCCTTTGCTGAGAGCAAGCCGGACTGCCGGAATCTTGGGAAAGACTTGCTGGGGCATTGGGGAAGACCCACCCATGGAGACTGGCTGGCTTGTGTTCCTGGCTTAAGCCTACACTAGCTCTGGTTCCATCTAGAAATCACAGCCACATCTCCCCACTCCCCTCCTGCCTTTTCTTCCCTCAGGCAATGTACTCACTGGGGGGATACAAAGAGATTGTGCCCTGGGAAGCAAGACAGTGTCCCTTGGCCTTTCTACCTCACTAGGGAGCAGTTTAATGCAGGAAGTGGTTCTACTGTCTAGAAAGACCCCTGATAGCACACCAGCTGTGTGACTGGACAAGTGACTGAGCCTCTCTGAATCCTCCTTATTATCCATAAAGCAAAGCATCTATGTAGATTCAATGACATCATGCACATAAGGAGTATGGGAAATAGTGCACACAGAAGTCTGTTACTGCCTTGTGGTTAACAATTGTCACCATAGTCATTGTTACTGTCACCCTGTCCATCTCCATCTCTGAGGCTTCGGATCACAGGGATGACTTGCTATGGCCCAGGTCATCTTTGGATGACCCCATTATATAAAATACAGCAGAGCAGGGAAATTATGAACTGCATGCAAATCATTAGCTCCCTGAGGGCAGAGCTGTTTGGCCATGGGCCTCCTGTTCCCCAGCAAAGGCCCGACAGGGGAAAGGTAGCTTTTGTCAAGGGAAACACAGAAAGGATCCGTCAGAGGGCACCAGGACACTGGGGAAATACTCCTGGCCTGCCTTTCTAGAGTCCTGAGACTGATTCTTGTTCTTGAGACCTGGAAGAGGGTATCTAAGAGGAACACAGAGTGTCACCGGGCTTCTGCTGGTTGGCTGTACCTACCCATGGTGCCTGCAGCGTATGTTTCCAGGCTGGGTATCTGTGACCTGCTTCTCAAACTACAGGTCCACTAGCGACCCTGGGAACTGACCAGGCTCCAGGCTGAGCTCAGCAGGGCCAGTCCACACCTTCTCCAACTGCCACCTTCTCTCCCTTCCCCACCCCCACCCCGGAACTCCCTGGGCTGGGCTTTTTGTTCCCTGGTTCCCAGGCAGTGCAGCTGGTGCTGTAGGCTGGGGAGGGGGGTGGAGGACGCAGCAGAAAGTCTGTGGGAGGGAGCTGTCTCTTAGTTCCAAAGGCAAGCATGGCTGTAGCTGCCCCCTCCTCCCAATATGACGCTCCCCCTAATTCCCACATGGGTGTCTCAGCAAATAAGGTTAATTCCCCCCCCCCCCATTTGCTCATGATAGCTCCTTAAATGTGTGTACGCGACTCCTAGTAATTGTCAGCGCTGAGAGAAAATTAGAGCAGATTTGGTGTGTTCTTATTTTTGAGTCCCAAGATCTGTTGGCAAATACCTGGTCTCTTTTTCTCTGAGCCTGAAGACCTCAGGCATCATCTCTTCAGTCCTCAGAGTGCTTGGATTTCTTTTCTGCGTGTAGAGACAGAAGCCAGGATGGTTTACAGAGAGGAGGAAGGGCGGTTTGGGGTCCACAAAATACAGTAGGAAGAAAGGATGAGAAGGCTTTGATGTGTAGGATTCTGAGTCGGGCTGATTATGCACCCTTTTGTTACGCAGCTTCTAAACTGCATTGCAAGGAAGTACCTGTGAATGACAGCTGGGGCCATGCTCATCAGCGGGGAAGGGGGCCAGCTCATCAGCAAGCAGCTTCAGGATCTGGAGTTTGAACTGGATTTGCCTTAGCGTGCTGCACCAGACACAAGTTAGTTCTCAGAAGGAGGGAGTGATGCCCGGTGTGAATGGAAGCCTTTCCTTGACTTTCCCTTCTGAGCAATCACTGGATAAACGAATAGTTGGGATGTGGCTAAGGAGCAACAATCTAACGGAATGTGCAGAGGCCTTAGTGTCCGTGGCCTGTAAGCTGGGATTAGTGGCTGCCATGTGGGTAGCGCTGATTGTTCCCAGGTTACTTTCATGTGTTAGCATATTGATCCTTGTGATTATTGGATCCCCAAATGTTACAGAGAGAGAAGTGTCACATCAGAGAAACAAAGTCGCATGCCCGAGGTGATAAGGACTAATATGTTCTCAATGCTAAATGAGAGGATTAGTATAGAGCTGGGCCTGAAAGCTAATGTTCTATAGTCTGAGCCAAAGGCTCGGGGCCAGGTCAGGGGGAAGGTGTGATACAGACTTCTCAGTGGGGAGCAGGTGCAGAGAAGGTCAGTTGTGGGAGGTGGTGATGGCAGAGCAGGAGCCTGAGAGCTAGGCAGGAGTGGGTAGGGTTGGCAGAGAGTGTAACAGGGTGCAGTGAGGACCCCGGGAACTGGGGAGGGCTGGATTCGGATGCATAGTTCAGAAAAAAAACTTGGGCTCTTTTCAGGGGTGAGACTACTGTGATAGGTAGGGATGCTGTCCCTGGGTTGTGACCCAGGATCAGCCAGGAAGTGACCAAGGCTACTGTTCTGAGAGCAGAGGCACTGAGATTTCTGATTCCTGAAGCCCCTTCCCTGGCCAAAGTCAAATCTGTCACTTTAGGATGGGGAGGTGGTGAGTCAGGGCATTCTTTCTCCTTATTCAGTTTCTAACTTCTCATGTAGACCTACACGAGGCTTCAGGCAATTAAAACTTCCATCACCCCCTTCCCAAATATACATTTTGGGGATAACAGCAAGGTAGGCCCTGAGAAGACATAGGAATCCACAGGTCCAGTACCTCCTGATACTTAATGTCCAGAGGACACAGAGTCCTCACTGGTGTGAGGAGAGATTGGAGAAGTGGGGGGCACAGAGCAATTATTTACTTACCCACACCTGCAGCACCCTTTCCTCAGCCTTGTGTTTTAAAGTCTAGAATAGAAGGAGTATTCCTCCAGGGATGAGGAGAGCACCCAGGCTTCTATTTTTTCTCCTTGTCAATCTTGGTTCCCTCCACTGAAGAGCAAAGACTTCACACCCCTAGATGGCCTTGAACTGGATCAATGAAGAGGTAAATTGCTGACTGCCCCTAGGAGAGAGCAGCATGTCTGTAGTAGAGAGTGAGTGTGGGTGCACCCTGGAGGCCGGGTGTAGGCCCCCAATCCTCTTTATTCCCACCAGTTCCTTCCAGCGAGTTGCCATAGCCTGTTCTGGGAAGCTCACTCCTTTGACTC